CCTTTATAAGGAAGGTCTAAAAACCCAACTTGTAGATTGTATGATGACTTTTCCTCTTGATCTAGACCTGAAAATCATCCTGAAGATCTGACTCCACCTATCTCAAACTTCCTTCCTTTCCAAATAGTTTTCAGCCTTTTCTGGCTACTCTTAGAACTGCCAGCTCTTGCAGCTGACATCTGAGAAGATGGAGGAAAGAAGAAAATAGTCATGGAATTAGAATAGTTCTGTCTACATATTTCTAAGGCAACCACTTGACAAAGACAATCATTGTTATGAAGTTGGTTATTTCATTGGGTAACAAATAGCCACTCACAGGGCACTGTGTTCTTTATTGTGCTAAGTGCATTCAAGAATAGAACATGGGGTTGAATGGTTGCACAGCAGTAAAATGCAATCCTCTGGAGGGCTGACTATATCAAAATGTTCGGATTCACATCCTGAGACATCTCTGAGTATGCAGCGTGCTTGTGACCCACGGTGGACTTAAGTTGGTGGTAGTTCATGGTGGTAGTTCACTCAAAACCTTTAAGGAGTGTTGTGTGTCTCTCTGTGTCTCTTCTCTTTCTCACTCATAGGGGAAAAATGAATAAATTAAAGTAAAGAAAAAAAGGAGAGAAAATAAAGCAAAAACAAGGAGATTGGCTCTAGGAATAGGAACTTTCAAGTTATTGAAATGAGTTCTCAGTTAATTGACCAACTGGCTCCTTCTATATTATTCAGTGTAGGCTTTTGCCACCAGATGCCGTGGGAAACAAATGTATCTGACCATTCGGAATCCTATTCTCCATCCACATTTACTCTTTAGGTGGTGACCCCTTCTCCTTCACAGTAGGTGTTACAAACTGAAGGCCACCTATGTACACTCAGCACAACCTCTCCACAAAGCAAATGTTGTTATCCTCTTAGTACAGTTGTAGGAAATGAGGCTTTGAGAAGTAACATAACTTCTCCAAGGTGCATAGAAGCTAAGAACACCCTGAAAATTTGAACTCATGTCTCTTTATTTCCAAAACCCAGGTTCCTTTCTCTAAACCACTATTTTAAAATGTTTTTATTATTATCACTGTGGGAGGCCAATAGATCAGGAGATATTTGCTATTGATACCATAGCTTGTTACTCACAGTTCCCAAAAGAAGTAGCTGTTACGTGCCTTACAGGTCAGCATGCGGAAGCACCAAAGTCTGTTAAGAGGCAGAGGAGATGAAGTGCAAGAGCCTTTACTGTAGTTGTCAGGGTAAGGAAAGGGGAGCAGAGTAAGCTGGCTTAGTACTGGTCAGTTTGAATAATTCCAGCAGGCTCGGGTGGAAGGCCTAGCTTTCATCATCTGGTATCTGACTCTAAGGTTGTTAAAGCAGGGGGATAGTGGCCTTGAGCATGAGAGTCCGAGAATATCAAGGGAAGCAGTTTCTCCAGGATCAGCTGGCAGAGAGACATGGCAAAGCATCAAAAGTGGAGAAAATAAAAAGGCAACATTAATACATTTCCTCTTCTTCTGAGATCCAAAGTTTAAAGTCACCTGACTCTAATTTTCTTATGATCTGTAAGTGGTCAGTCACTAAGGTGGTTTTGTTTTGTTTTTCATTTTTTGGTTTTTGTTTTCAAAATCTGTCTCATTCATTCATTCATTCAAGATGCCCAGCAGTGTTCTAAGCATTGAGTGGGAAATAATGAAGTTCTTACTTTAAAAGAACTGAAAATGTGGGGTAAGATACAGGCATATAACCTAATGATTATAAAAGAATTTGATAAATTCTACAATAGAGCAAGGACAGGGGGTCTCTATGCCCTGTGTCTCCACTTTCAGCCTCAGCCCTGTCTGCAGTCCCTTCTCTTTCTGCCTGGTCAGCTCCCTGACCTGCCTGCCCTATCAGACTAGGCTTCCTTAACTTTTCATCATTTTGCTTCCCAAATCAAAATAATTTCCTATTCTTTCCAACCCAATAAAAGTCAACATTTCTGGCTTTCCATACCTGCTGTCTGGCCCTACTCACCTCACTCATCCATATTTCCACCACTTTATAATCTAATCTAACATACAATTACAAGCATGAGCAAGTGTAAAGTGTGGTTAAGTACCACCAAGGAGAAAGACGAGGAGCTAACCCACCATAGGTATGCCTCCACCATGGCTCACTCATCCCATTTATTCCACAGATATTTATTGAGCACCCATGATATGCTGGCACGGGCTAGACCAGTCCCCTTAATCTTCACAATCATTATTCTCTTCCATCTTCATGTCTATACTCCCCATAGACTCCTTTCTGACATGCCTTGCCTCTAACTCTTAGCTCCTCCATACTCTTAACTTTTCAACTGAAGTTTCACCTCTCCTGACTCTGTGGTAAGTATCCAATGATTTATCCCTTACTTTTCTCATGTATAAGGATACTTCAAAAGTTTACAAGAAAATGGAATTAAAGTACAAGTTTATTTTGATGCAAAAAAATTTCAAAATCCATTCATTGGTGTTTTTATAATACACATTTTTCATTAACATTTTGAAGGCCCCTTTTATTATATGAGTTTCCTGTTTTCTATTATATCCCCACAGTCTCACCCCAGCAATAGCATATTAGGCATTCAGTAAGTACTAAATAACTAGACTCAGCCTGTTAGTGCAGTCAGCAGCACATTGAACTGCGGTGCTGGAAGCCACATGGCTGACCACTGGTTCAGAACCCTGTCCCTGTTGTCCTGAAACTCATCAGGTACATGTACACATGCCCAAGATCACTGAGAGATGGTAGGTTGGGGAAATGACCAGATCCTGTTGAAAGTGTTTGATTCTCTATTTTTCTTTCTGTTTCATGCTCATGCACACACTGACCATTGAATAAAATAAATAAGCTTAGAAGAGACTAAATAACTGCATTTATGCATGCACATTATATACTAGGTATACAAATATACTTTATCCTTGAAGCTCTACATCTCCCTCCCTCCTCTAAACTCTTTTATTTTTTTATAATTTTTAATTTAATTATTTATTTATTCATTCATTTAAATTGAACACACACAGATATAGATAGATAGATAGATAGATAGATAGATAGATAGATAGATAGATAGACAGACAGACATAGATATATCTATGTATCTATCTATCTATATATATATATCACGCCACCTGCTGGTCTGCCCTCCTCTAAACTCTTCCCATAGACATGAGGAGCAGATCAGGAAATATCTTTAATTATCTATTACTGATCCCAGTAGGTTCATCAAAGTCTAGATTATACCTCATCACTGTAACTCAGAGCTTAACTTTTAGGAAATAAATAATCAAACTTGCAATTTTTTTGGTTGAAATAACCAGTGACTTTGGTATTATTTTCAAATGTTTCTGCAGAAATTTACTAATTGAATTCATTTATACCTGCAATTTTAGTAGATGATATGGCATAGTTGTTAAGAACAGTGACTTAAGATAGAGAGGGACCCTAGTTTGAGATATAGCTCTGTCATCACTCCCCTGTGATCACGGGCAAATTGCTTAATCTTTAGTTTCAGTGTGCTCACCTCCGTAGTGAAGACTAACATCTTTTTCGTTGGAGTACTGTAAGGAATAAATGAATGTACAATGCTTAGCTTAGTATTGATGTGTAATAAATGAGCTATAAAAAAAACCTATAGCCAATAGATTTTAGGTAATACCACTCATACTACTGTTGGCATTATAGCGGATACATTTTACCTCCTAGCAGCCCTGTTTCAAAAGGAGGCTGAAAATAGAAGTGTATTGGCATTCAAAGCACTTTAGTGACTACACAAATTCACACAGGTTATTGAGAATCAGAATCAGAACCCAAATCTGACCTCCATAGATCCTGAACAAATTCTCTTTCTCTATACATAACTGTGACTCTCAGAAACATGCTTAGAGAGCCTAGCTCCATGAAGCCAAAATAGCTAGTTTGTTCATAGTTTAAATGAAAATAAGTCTGTCTGAATCATTGTTGTAGAGTGCTAGAGATTCAAACATTCAGAAAATACACAAACAGGTTAGGTTTAAGAACTCAAGCACAGGGCTGGGCATGTCTAAACAAGCAGAATGACAGCATGGGGAAACACTTCTGTTCCTGATGCATATTACATACTAGTTAGTTAAAGCTACCAAGTGGATAAAGGAACAAATTCCTTTACTCAGGTTTTTAAATGTCTGCAGAACTCAGACATTTCTGGTTTGGGAGAGCAATTTTCTAATTTTCCCTCATGACAATGATTCTGTCAAATGTAGTTCTCTTGACAACTCTAAGGCACTGTTTAAGTGTTTGTTGTTTTATTTTTTAATTTATGGTAGAATATGTGTAGGTAAGAGAGAAAGGAGCACCTTCTACAGGGTCTGGTCACACCATCATCCTCTTTCTCCAGTCTTCCTGCCTATTGGATCTTGTGTGCCTGCTCTGTGTGTTTCATGCTAAGTAGGCCAGGAATTTGAACCCTAGTCACTATATGTGATCCAGCTTCTTGTGAGCAGAGAATTCCGCTGTACCACGAAGCCAGCCCCACCCCCTTGTATATTTTAACTGATTCTCTTGCCATATTCTTTCATTTACCTCCTCCATTAGTTAGACATAGTGAGTAATACAAGGTTTGACATTGCCCTGAGGTGACAGCCTGTATCAGGAGAGGAAAATGATGTGATCCAGAGAAGTCAGTGCTTTTAACTCCTACGCTCTGCCATTTAACTTGAGGCACCCTTCCTTTCTCATTGATTCTGAGACCTGATGCTGACCTACTGCTACCAGTTCAGCCTTGGGCGTTTCATTGTCTGTTACTCTTCTTTCTAAGCTTCTTGGTTGTAAATCTAAGAGGCTGGCACTAGGACAAGCAAAAGTGAGTTTCTAGCTGAGACAGTCTTGCTGACTAAGTGTATTAACCATCTTAAATCCTTCATGGACAGAAAGTTGAAAGAAATGATCATTTTGGTGTATTTTTTTGGCTTACATATATATAAGACCTATAAAATTGACCTCTCTCTCCTGTTTTTCAGATAGACCACATGGTGCAGGGGCATCCTGCCTTCCCTGAACTACAAGCCAAGGCTACAGCCAGGTAACTAGTATCTCACTTTGGGCAGTTGCATGATTTTAAGATCCTATGGGCAATGAAAAGGCCTGTGATGTAGATAATCCAGATCATACATGTACTGATTTTTTAAAATTTTTTAAAGTTCTAATAGAACTTAAAAAATCAAGAAATCACCCAAAAATCTACCCAGGGACCAATGGCTGACAAACTAATAAAAGAAGGATCATGGATTTTAGAGTCAGAACTTTTTGTGCCTACATCCCAGCCTACTTCTTACTAGGTGTGTAACCTTGGGCAAATTATTCAGCATTGTTAACCTGTTTCTTCACATGTACAACTGAGGGTATTAACTGATAAGGAGTTATTTTGAGGCTATATTAAAGAAAGTTAAATGAACAGAGTGTTTAAAATGTGCTCCTTTTCATGTAAAAAGAAGGAAATATATGGGTATCTACTCATTTGTGCCAAAAAAATCAGAAGAGTTAAACCAGAAATTAATAAGATTGGTTACCTATAGATGTTGGGTAGGAATGGGTTGGAAAGAATGGGGGAATAGGACCAGGGCAGAAGAAAGGAATAACACCTCTCTGAGTATTCTTTTTTATGTAACTCTAACTCCTAGAACCATGGCGTTGTTTCATGTCCCCTCCAAATAAATAGATAATAGCTAGCTAGCTATATAATAGATAGATAGACAGACAAACAGATAGATAACCAGGATAAGTATATATAGTGGGGATGGGGAAAATGAAATATGAAGAATAAAACTGAATCCATTGTATTACAAGTGAACAATGCAACCACAATAAAAGGAGTTCGGAAAAGAAAAGAACT